AGATACACCATATGGAGCAAGCTTATGTAGAGGACTAGCATGATAAAATTTGTTGAAAGCTTTAGATATGTCAAGAGCAATAGCGATTTCATTTTTTTTCACTTTCCATTTTTTTTTTTCATTTTTTTTCACTTCCATTCTTTTTTTTAATAGCGATAGCCTTTCCATTTTTTTTTTCATTTTTTTTCACTTCCATTCTTTTTTTTCATTTTTTTCAACATCTTCACATCCAACAAGGCTGCAAGCTACTCATACTAGATTGAAATATACTGGAAGAGAAAAGATGAAATTTATAGAGCAAGATAACGATTAATATATGACTTAAAAGATTTAAAATTATATGAATCAGGAAAATAAGATAAAGGAATTCCAAAAAACTATTGTTTGAGGAAAAAAAACTATACAAATAAGAATTTTTGGAGCACTTAGGAACAGTCACAGTAAAAGGATGAGACTTTTCACGGCTGTTTCACTCAATATAAAAGCGAGCTTGATGTCACAAGAATTTTTGTGTTTAAAAAAAAAAAAAGAATTTCCGCATAAAAAGTATAAAAATTCACTAACTTTAAATTAATAGTATTTTTTTTCTATAAACGCTTTAATCTTCGAATTAAAAAAATATAAAAGAACTATCTTTCTTCATTAAATAAATATTTACATGAATCGAAATAAAAATAAACATGGTTAAAATATTTTAAATGATTTTGGATCACTTTTCTGTTTTTTTCGTATTTTACGGAAAACCAGTCTTGAGCCAATTAAGATTTGATATTTTAAGCTACATGCTTGATGATTGAAATTTTATATTCTTATAAACGAATGTCTATTATATCAGATTTTTGGAGGGCATAGATAAAAAAAATAGTTTAAGTTTTTTTAGCATTATTCTTTTTGTTTTTACTTGTTTTATATGAAAAACGTTCAATTTTTGTTATGCCCTCCAAATTATTATAATTTCAACCCTTTATGCACATGAAAATCAAAAAAATTACTTTCTGTACTTCTAACTAAAACGTCTTCAACCTTGGCAAATTTTTATTCTTTTAGCAACAAAATTTGTAGTTACATGCGTAAAATTTTTGTTTACATTTTAAAGCAATGACGTAACTTTAAATGCGTTACTTCCCAAATTCACTATTTAATAAAATTTATTAAAACAGCTTTTTTAGCAAGACAATTTTTAGTGTATAAATAAAACAAACTTTGGCGGGTTTTTTTTCTCATGGCTAATCTACTAACATCAGATAAGTTGTTTAATCCTCTATATCTATTGCATACTTGTTATTTGTCAATAATTATTATTTGATTTTATTTATTTGTATAATATTTTTATTAAAAAGTTTATTTATCACAATGCATTCTAGTGAAAGGGAGATATTAATACTATATATTGGATGGGAAAATGGCTGGGAAAATGAATGCAACTTTTCTTTTATTAAGCGATTAATGAACGCTGATAAAATCACTAATAACGTGATTTTAATTTTACTTAAAGTCTTTTCATCTAAAACATTGTTTAAATTTATAAGTTTTATTATGCCAATTGAGTTTAATTTGCCTATTATTAAAGACTTTAAAAAAATGTGCAAAAAATTATTAAGACAAAAAAAAGATTCTATAAAAATTTATGAAGCTTCTAAAAACGAAGCATTTTTAATATGCAACTGTCTCCAGCTTCACAAACAAAAAAAAAGAAAATCAGCAGATGCAGATTATTTTTCAATTTTAAATAGGAATAAGAAACTAAGTAGTCAAGTTGACCAATTAACTTCTAAAGAACAAACTTATGTGGAGCAAATAGATCAATTAAAAATGCAGGTACTTAAGTTGGAATCTGAAATTACGGATTTGAATTCTAAAAACAAGGCTTTAAACACACATTGTAACTCATTAAATTCTCAATTAGAGGCTAAGAGTATTAGGCTAAAACAGGAGGAGCAGTTCCAACTTATTTCAAAAAAAAAAAAATCAAAACATCGCAACATAAATTTGCATCTGCTCGTGCCAAAAATGTAAGATTGCTCAAGAAAATTAAATTTGAAAAAAATAATGCAAAAGTTAGTAATATAAACCAGAGTAGTTGGCAAAATTGCAAACGTTTTTTTAGTGGTGATAAGGATTTAGTTTTTGTAGATTTTTATTTAGATTATGATAACATTGGATCTTCAGAATTGTTCTGTGGATTTAAATTAAGTAATCCACAGACTGTATTTGTAAAAAGGCCAATAGTTGGGAAAAAGTATACTTACGTTAAGTTAGGACATGGTAAACCTTATTCTAAGTTAGGTAGGCATGCTGCAGCTAGATGATCTAAACTTGCTTTTACATTCCTTCAATTATTAGCTTGTTCAGATTTAGAATGTGATTTGTCTATGTTGTTTTGTGATCTTATGTCTTGTGAAAAGTCAGTATTTCGTTGTGTTGCGAATAAGTTAGGTTTAGTTACTCAGTTAAGTGTTTCTGATGCAATAGAGCTGCAGAGCCTTTTTGCAGTGGATAAGGGTGGAAAGTATATGAAATTCCATTTTGAAGTTGTCAACTCTAAATCGTCAGGGTCTGTTTATGATGTTCATTTGTTTTGTATGTATTAGGGTTCAGACTGCCGTGAGAATATTGCCTTAATTCTTGGGCATTATGCCAACGACATTAAAAGAATTCAGTCGCCAGATTTCAAGCTAAAAGGTAAAATAGTCAGGTTGTTCTTAGGTGGAGATTTTCATTTCATCGATGATGTTCTGGGACACCAGGGTTCAGCTGCTAGCTTTCCTAGTTCTACAGATCTAGTTGATTTGAAATCTCTTAGAAACCATGCTTCTATACCTCACACACCTGCTAATTGTAACATCTTAAGGAGGACAATACAATCTCTGGAAGGTGCTTACAATGAGAACTTGTGTGAAAATAGACAAGGTGGAAACTTAACAGCTCTAGGTAAGTTTCATAAACTAATTATTGCTCCTGTGATATTCCCCATAATAACTTTAAATAATGGAGTGCCACCTGTTTTACATATTATGTTAGGAGTTGTGTTAAAACTGTATAAGTTATTGTTGAAGGAGTGTAAGACTTTAGATCGTCAAGCTGAATCGTCTTTGTCGCATAATGAGAATGTGAGAACGAATGAATTGTGGGCTGCTAAAAGTGCTGAATGTTCTAAAACAGCAGAAACTTTGCGTTTATTAGGAAATCAATTTGTAGACTGCGAATCTAAAGGCGCGATGGTTGGCTTTTAATAACAATTCTTTCGAATTAGAAAAAATATCCCTAAACTCCTCCAATAAAAAAAAAACCTGTAAACAGCAAGAAATGTGTGCTAGTATCAGGTGTTTAATTACTAAATATGATTGTAACGTTGATTGGGTGCAGTGTGTTACATGCAAAAAATGGTTTCATCAACTTTGTGAAATTATTGGTTACTCAGAAAAGAGTGTATTGTGTGACATAGAGATGTACGAGTGTTTAGTGTGTCAGGGTGAAGATATAGAATGTCTTGATCATTATATTTCTGAAAAAATTTCTTTTATACGTGCACAACGCGAAGTTTTAGACACTTAATATATTAAATTGCAGATGGAGTGTGAAGACCTAGAAAAAATATCCAAAAGTAGCATGGGGACTCATGAGAGGTCTCTTAATAAGGCCCTTGAAGATATGAAGGTTGAGCGACAAGCGTACCATGGTAATGTGTTTTTAGGTAGTCATTGCAAAATAGTCTTAAGAAACCACTATAAACTTTGTAGTGTTATTGATGATGAAGCTATTAAAAATAGATTTGTACGTGTGTTTAGTGTTTTTAATAAGTTGCAACCTATTCTATTTAAGCGAAAATTTCTTTCAGATGCCGAAATTACTGAGCTTCATCAATATATAAATTTATTTGCTATCGAATTTCATGATTGCTTTCCAAAAGAAAAGCATCACGCGAAAAATGCATGAACTCATTTTTAATGTGCCACTATTTGTAAAATTGCATAAAACTATTGGGTTGTTGAGTGAAGAGGAGGGAGAGTGTTTGCATAATAGTGTAAATAAGGAATTAAGACAGTTGCATTCAGTAATAAATCAGGAACAGAAGCTGCGTCTTGTTTTAAAACGCTTTGAATTGCACGGCAAAGCTGATAGGAAGCTTCAAGCCTCTAAGGTAAGAAAGTGTGTTGTGTGTTCTGAGCGAGGCAAAAATTCTTTTTATAGAAAAGGCCTTTGTCTTGTTTGTGGTCATCAAAATTAGTTTAAATATTTTTTAAAAAATTGAAAAAAAATAAAAATAAAAAAAGGGATCCTTGATTTATAATTTAAAGAACTTTATTCTGTTCTAGTAATGTTTGTTTAAATTATTTGTTATATGTAATATTGCTTTTATATATTGTAGGGCAATTATAATCTTATCTTCAGAAGTTAATTCTACCTCAGGAAAACCTCCGCTCAGGTTAAAGAATGGAATATAAGTCTAGCATTGAATGGGTGTAAAAATATGGCATATCATTTTAATAACCTACACACAGAGCAACTGGTATGTTTTTGTGTTTGAACTGGTATGTATGTGCAGTTTATTTAAAACATTTATTGTACTTTTTTATATGTAATGTGTTTTTTATATATTAGTCCATGTCCATTCGATTATTATCATTAGAAGTTAATACCTTACTTATAGTTTCTACCTCTGTGGTATCACTGCTCTACCTCACTTCTTGTTAACAAATGGAATGTAATTCTCATATATATCAAATTGGTGAAAAAATATAATTTAAGAACTACAGGTTATTGTCACAGTTTTGAGTCAAGCAACTGCTCTTCTGGTCTAAAATGAAGTATGAGTCTAGTATCAAATGTGTGTACAAAGATTTACTACTTAAAGAATTTATCAATCGACCAACTGATTATTGAATAGTTTTTTATAAGAATAAAAACAATTTCAAATTGCTATTTGTATATTTAAACACGCAAAAAAACACGCAAAAAAAAAGTTGGCGTCTTTATTTATTAACATTCTCACATTAGAACTGTGTGCACATAAAAAGTTTTTTAAAAGCTTAAGCTTCAAGCTTTAAATTTTTAGGCTAAATATTCTAAAATGTAAATCTGTTTTCATTAAATGGAATCAATTTTCACAAACTAGTCATTTAACAGTTTATCCCCCTTTTAACGATATTTTCTTAATTTTGCGAAAATTTGATTTGCTTTACTGGCATAACGTCTGTTTTAGTTAACCTTTATTTTTATAATAGTCCAACAATGTGTACATTTAATAATAATTATCTAAAATATATTCTTTCTGAGTTTTTTTTGATAAAAGGTAACATCAAATTACTAATACTTAGCCAAGTTCAACATTTGCCGCGTTTATTCTAAAATTAAAGAAGTTTTTTAATATATCTGTGGAACGTCATCAAATAATATATTTTATTGGTGTTTTTATTCTTTTTACAGAACAAAATTATCTCTAATGTTTCAAAAGTTGTAAAAGTTTTAGTAACACCCCTTACATGAATATTTTCAAAAAATAACAAGAAGCCGTAAAGTTCGCTTGAAACAGCCATGATGGTTTGCAAGAAACATCCGAAGAGTTAATCCAAGATGACGAAAAGAATATGACTCATCAAGTACATTATGGTTAATAAATATAGGAAAATTTAGATTATTGCAATAACAAATAGGTCAAAAAAATTGAGTTTTATCTGATTTAAAGTTCACCAGCCACTGGGAGCCCCATGTTGTAGTAGAGGTGCGATCTTTTTCAAGCTCAAATGCCCCCTGCAAACGATCAGTGTGTTAACTTCTTCAAGGTAAAAATAAATAGTAGTATCATCAGCAGAAAAATGCCACCAGAATAAATCAATCTGTAAGAAAAAAGCTTATGGAGCAGAGCAGCATGCAGAACTTTATCAAAGGCTTTAGATATGTTGAAAACGATAGCCTTAGCCTCTGCATATCTATCTAATGCATGATAAAACCTATCAGCTATTACCATTAACAAATCAGCAGCAGAACAAGAAGATTGAAATCCATACTGATGATCAGAAAGTTATGAGATTTAAGATGAGAGATTGAGTGTTTGTTAATTAAAGACTCAAAACTTTGCTTATGATAGTAAGAAGATTAATGGGACAGTAGTTAGACCAACCAAATTTCTCTCCAGAATTTTTGAAAATAGGGATAACAGATGCCGTTTTCCAGCAGGCTGGAAAACAAGACTCTGATAAGCACTTGTTAAATAGTTTTGAAAGTATAGACAACAGCTCTGTAGAACACTTCTGCAACACTTTAACAGGTATGTTGTCCAGACCAGCTGTAGAAGAGTTTAAGCAGGAAACCACTTTAGATACAGAAGCTGGAGTGATACAAACATCAAGCAATTGATCAACCTGTTTGTCAGCTATATCACCTAGATTGTAACTGAAACCAAGAGACAATATTGATAAGAAGTTCTTAGCAAATAATTTAGCTTTTTCATTAGTTGAGGTGAAAAAATCAGAACCATGCAAGAGAGGTGGACAGAATTTGCCCTTATTATTGATACTGTTAAAGATTCTCCAGAAATCATGAAAGCCTTATTTTTGATATGAAATACAAGATTTCATGACATGAAAATAGCAGGCTTCGGCGTTAGACAAAACTTTTTTACAATGGTTTCTAGCAATAGTAAACAGATGTCTGTTTTCTAAAGAATTGTTTTTACCGATAGATATGGAAGTAATGGTTTTGATTGGAAATTGCAGCAACACAATGTGAGGAAAACGATGGAAAAGAGTGAAGCTTGACCTGGAACCGTCGGCAGGGAATAAAAGATTCCATGCCTATTACAATTTAGTTTAACTACCATTAACTATTCAGCCTCCACAAAGTTATGTAAAAAGCACATTTGTCAGCAGGAAGACAAAAGATTTCTACCCAAAGGGCCATAAAAAAGAAAATCACGGAAAGAGTCCCAGTTCGCTTTAAGGTAGTTTTAAAAGTGCAATGATAGGGGGATTCTGATGATGAAGAAAAATGAGATAATAGTTTAGAGAGATTAAACCATGAAACTGAGCACTGACTAAGCACATAAAAGAATAGTCTGTGAATTCAATAGGGCACATACTTGAATGGGTTTGAAGAACACTAACTATATTCGCAACTTTCATATAGCAAACCATAATTAGTTTAACTCCATTCGCATTAATCAGTGACTAGATTTTTCAATGTTGGTTAGTTTCTGGCAAATCTACTGATACTGCAACAAGAATTATTCTCTTAATTCCATTGTCTTTGCCAGTCCTTGTATGTACGTTTTGGTTTCAGGTCAAAGTAGTGCCCAGCCACTATCAAGCCCTCCAAAATTAACCAGTCTAGCTCTTATAAATGTACAATTAAATACAAGACTATCAAAAACAGATTAAAGAAACTGGTCAGAATTGTAAACAAAACATTAAGGAAATTTTTATAAGATAAAAATTTGCTTAAATTTTTCATAAAAGGATGTCAACACTTGAGTGATTTCTTCACTGAAGTGACTTAAAAATTACTAACGTAAAAAAAGATTCTGGTACAGTTTGGGTTTTTGCTCACTACACTGATTTATCAAGTCTTGTGAATCATATTTTTTAATCTCGCAATAATAAATAGTTGTTTGTTCATAAGGGAGTTGTTCTTTTGAAAAAGATTAGAAAAATTATTTTAATTAGATTTAGCAGAAGGCGAAAACCATGGAGTAAATTAAGGCTTGAGTTGGACCAGACAAGAAGGAATAAAAGCTTCCATTCGTGCCTGAATGCAGGAAGTTATGAAGTAGAATTATCAACTGAAAGAGAAAACATATCAGCCTAAGAACCATCAGGATCACGAAGAAAATTAAGAAATAAAGCTTTTTGAAATCAGCACCTCTTTTGTGATGAAGGAGGTGCTAAGCGCAAACTAAAGCTTCCGCTTAGAACCTCTTCACTCCTATTTACTTCTGCCGAAGCCAGTATATATACACAAAATAAATATAATAAACAAAATAAAATATAAAACAAACCTATTTCATCAATAAAGATAATGCATGGCTGTATTTTGTTGGCCTATATTAAAAATAATACAAATAAAAAAATCAACAAAAAAATTAACCTACTCAAATTTTTGATAATTATAACAACAATTTGATAAAAAATATTTTAAAATTGATAAACACTTACAAGTGAAAACACAGCTTTTGCTAACTTCTGCGATTCGCCATACCATTTATCTGTCAAGGATGAAATATCCAAATTTATAAAGCGACAGCCTATACAAAAATTTTATGATCTTTAGATTTCAAGAAGATGCATAGATTTTTATAATACATTTGGTAACATTCACATATGATTGAAATTTAATATTTGCAGAATAAATATAACTGTATTATCAAAATAAATTTTTTCAATCAATATATAATTTATTAACTTAAAACTACTGAAATGTTTTATACATAATATATTTTAACTTTTTGAAAATAATAACAGTAAAAATAAAAATTAAAAAATCGTAAGGTTCTTTTGCACTGAAATTCTAAGTTAAAATCAAGTTAAAAAAAAAAAAAAAAAAAAAAAAACATCACTGCTTCACTAATAATTTTTATTGTTGATCATTTGCTTTTTGAAATAAGAAAGCAATTTTGAAACAGTTATTGAATTGTGTAGCAAACAAAAATTTAATCAAAATTCAAAACAAGATTTATTTGTCAACAATTGTGCTATTATTAATTGCTGACAACTAATAGTTAAAAAATTTTGAACCTGCTTCTTTTGCTGTTGCTTTTGCCACCATTGTCTTTCCACAGCCTGGTGGTCCATATAGTAAAACACCTGAAGATTTATAATTAATAACTTTAATAAAAAAAAACTAAAAGTATTTATTAGCAAAATATTAGCAAAAATAGTACAAAACAAAAAGGACAAAAAGTTACAGACCTTTAGGAGGCGACAAAAGAGTTGATTGACTAAACAGCTTAGGTTTTTTAAATGGAAGAACAACAGTTTCCTAAAAAGTAAATGGAAGAACAACAGTTTCCTAAAAAGTAAACTGAAAACAATATTAACTATTACTTTTTGTAGTCATGTAACTTTTTTTTACAAAAAAATAAAAATAATAAAAATAATAAACAGTATTATGTTAAATAACTTGTATTTAAAAATCAATTAATCACAATAACAATTAATTTATTTCACAATTTATTTATGATATAAATATTTATAAATCACAATTTATTTATAATAAATAAATTTGTTTTTAATTTAAAAATTACTATTTTATTACTTTAAAGCAAATATGAATACCTTAATCTCAGAAATAATCGAATCCAAACCTCCAATATCATTCCAAGAAACTGGTAAAACAAGTGGATCAACTAGTAATGCAGCAATCGACATTTCATAATCAGTCAGCTATAAAAAGAAAGACATTATCAAACATCAGTCAATCAACATTCAGTCATCAATTATCATCAGTAACCTAAGTGCATTGATATTTTTCTATGCTTCAAAAACAGCACATTAGTTTTACAATTTTTCAGTTATAAAAAAAGCTGAAAAATAAGAACACATACCGTATTGACATTTGTTAGACCCAGGCTTTCAATAACTTTTTCTGCCTTAAATTATAAATAAAATATCATAAGAAAAAAAATTTAAAATAAAAACTAAAAAATTATATATATATATATATATATATATATATATATATATATATATATATATATATATATATATATATATATATATATAATAATAATAATAATAATTTTTTTTTTAATTCTTTTGTTTTTTAAAATTTGTTTTCATATTGTTATTTTTCTCATAGATGGTAGCATAAAAACAGTTTTTATAATTCTATCAACAAACTTTGAAAAACAAAATTCATATGTTAGTTAAGCCCAAGGCTGCAGAGCCAAATAGTATTTATAAAAAAAAGTATTTGGAGGAAAAATATTTAAGTTGGTACAAATTGTTTTTCAACTTTAGCCTTGTTTGTAATTCAAATGCTATCAATAAAATGTTTATAACAAATTATTTATAACTACAAGTTTTTTTCAATAATAATTTTCAGTTAGCTCTATAGTTTTACAATAATCCCTCAACTTAAAATAATAATTTTCAATTAACTCTTCAGTTAAAAACTTTTATAATAATTCCTCAACTTAAACATATATAATAATTTTTAATTAACTTTTCAAGTAGAGCTTTGCAAGAGATAAGACTCAACAGAAGAAAAGTTACTTCAAAGACGATGAATATTTATGAATGATATATTTAGAGAACTTGATGATGATGGTTTATTATAATTTAATGTTTTTGATTATTTTGGTTATTTATTATACATCTAGTTTTATTTATTAAAACTCTTGATTCAAAGCACAGGGTTCTAAATGTAGCCTCAACAATGCACACCAAAAGTACAAACAGAGACACCATCTATGGGCAACATGGCATTGTTGGTATTTTGATACTTTACAGCTGTTGATGGAATCAACCTCTCTGAGAGTTACCACAATTTTCAGGAAACCGAACTACCAAAGGCCTTAGAACCATAAAACTGAGTTTTGAAGCTGTACCCTCATTAGGAGATAATAGAGTGATATATATATATATATATATATATATATATATATATGTATATATATATATATATATATATATATATATATATATATATATATATATATATATATATATATATATAATATATATATGCACACACATATATATACATACAACCCTCGGAATTAGGTTTTGCCGACCTCGTTTTGATGTTTTATGGTAAGACCTTTGTATTTGCCGACCTCTAAAAGATATATATGTATATATATATATATATATATATATATATATATATATATATATATATATATATATATATATATATATATATATATATATATATATATATATATATATATATATATATTAGGGCAGTTCACATACCATAGCCAAAAAATAAAAGTTATTTCTAATCAAGTGCTCATACTTTTTTGTGTTCCTATATCTTACTGTAGCAAAAATGTCAAATATTTTTGGGATACTATTATGTTTAGTACTGCCTTAAAGCACCTGAAATTCTTATGGAATACTGGTTTACGAGTTTATATTTAATTTTAAAAACTTACTATTATTTAATATTAACAATTGTTTCCAAATATATTCCAACTAACTTACTTATTTAAAAAAATAGCACAATACATTTATAAATATTAAATATCCTATGCAGTGAAATAAATAATAAATATTCAATGTAAATTACACATTAGTCTGATATTTATAATTTCACAATAAGTTTCTCAAATATTCAATTTATAAGTAAAGTACTGTTTTTAAAATTACTGAATAATACTGATCCATGTTTATTTGCTTACTTTGTAAAGGTTAAAAAATAACAATGGCTGTAACACGTGCTGTAAGTACTGTTTTCTTAATTAGTGAGCCACAAAATACTTTTGACGGTCGAAGGCTCCCAATGACTCATGAAGTTTTGAGAGTTTATTTTCACCATCATAAGAATGAAAAACTGTCACAAAAATGTTAAACTTGAATAGTTTTTATAGTCTGCTGCAACCTTTTTGCAGCAGACTAAAAAAAATAAAAAAAATAAAATGTAACAACACTTTCTTGTAGCAGCAGGCTATAAGATAGTTGATGTAGCAGCACTTTCTTGTAGCAGCAGGCTATAAGATAGTTGATGTCGCAACACATTTTTTACAATAAAAAAAAAATAAAATAAATAAAAACATTCAAAATGTTTTTATTAAAAATTAAATAAAATAAAAACTTTCTAGTCTTTTAATTTGCCAATTTAAAAAGTATGTTTTAGCATAACAATAAATTTAATTAGTTTCCTAAATTAAATCAATGCATTATGACATAATCTATACTTAATTTGGTCTTGCTAGATGTTATAGAGTAGTTGCTTTTTTACCACAAACAAAGTGCCGCTTTTTTACCACAAACAATGAGTTAAAGATCTTTACTATAATAATATATATTCCTATTGTAAAAGCTTCAAATTTACAGTTTGTGGTGAAAAACAGCTTTTAAAAGAGACACCATATGTAAAAACCATCAAGTTTAATTGAGGAAACTAATTCAACTTTATAGTTTTTTTAAAAAACTACAAAATAGACTGAAATGTTTTTTATTTTAAAATAAAAATAAAACCATTCAGAATGTTTTTTACTTTAATTACATAGACTGAAAAATAAGTAGAACATGCAAGGAGTGCACATACATCAATTGAAAAATAAGTAGAACATGCAAGGAGTGCAGAACATGCAAGGAGGAATTGTTGTGTTGTTTTGTGTTGTTATACATCAATTGACAAATAGGTAGAACATGCAAAGAGTGCTGATACATCAGCTGAAGGTTTTGGTTTGGGCAAGCAATCAACTTAAAAATTTTTTTTTTTCAATATTTTCAATTTTTTCAAGTCTACTAAATTAATAATAATAAAAATAAAAAAATGAAGTTTACATTTTATAGTAAAAATTCAAGACAGCCATGCAGTAGTATATACATATTTTTAAGGGTCCCAATTGACCCTCAAATATTTAATGGGTCACTAAAATTATCAAAAATTTTTTCAAAAGTATGTCAACCTGGTACTCAAAAAAAGCAAAATTTCATAAAAGTTTTTAAAATAGCAACCATATTTCATAAAATTTTCTTTTAAAAAATCAAAAAAAAAAAAAAAAAAAAAAAAAAAAAAACTTAAAAAAAATTAATGGATATTTATGCATTAAAATCTAAAATAGTTATATTTCTAAAAAAGCTTAACTATTTTTAAAATTATTACTTTCAACTCTCAAAAAGGTTTTACGGTAAATAACTAATGCTCTAATTAACATTTTCACTCAATATAAAAGTGAGCTTGACGCCACAAAAATTTTTGTTTTAAAAAAAAAAGAAAAAGAATTTATCTTTTTTAAATCTAAAATATAAACTTTAAAACATTTTCTCTAATATTTTTTTGCCATTTTGTTTTATGACTTATCTCTGTTTCAATTAACATAAAATTCTAATAATGTTTATAATATGTTAATAAATATTAGATTTATATATTTTTAATTTTTTTGTTGATAAAAAGTAATAACAAATTACTAAAGTTCAGCCAATTTCATCATTTGTCACGTTTTTTCTAAACTAAAAGAAGTTTATTTACTATTATATTAAATGTCATATGATAAAACATTTTATTGTTGTTTTTATTCCTTTTACAAAACAAAATTATCTTTAATATTTCAAAAGTTATAAATATTTTAGTAACACCCCTTACGTTAAAATTTAAAAAAAAACAACATGAAGCCGTAAAGCTCACTCTGAAACAGCCGTTTCAGCCACTCTGAAACACTACTTTTAACAAATTTTTTTGAATTTTTTATATATAATCAAACTTTGATAAAATTAATAATTAAACATAAAAAATTTTTAATTTAAAAAGATTTTTGTTATTTTTACTCCCTAATGCACAACAACAACGCACAAAGACATTTTTAACTTTTAAACTTTATAAGAATGTTCGATTGTTATCGAACATTCTTATAAAGTGATTGTTATTTTAAAGTGATTGTTATTTTAAATAGAAATTATGAGTAGCTGTAGAAAAAATGAAATTTTAGCAATCATGATATAAAGTTTAATCTAGAGACATTTTAAGCACAAAAAAATTAGAATAATTGAAAATGAATATTTTATACTAGAAGTCCACCATTTTAAAAAATATCATGATAAAAAATGTTAATTGTTTTCTTGATATTCAATAGAAAAAAATGCACTAATGATAATTATTGGTTATCTAAATTGCTAAATGGTTAACAATGTTTATTGCAATGTTTTTATTCGGTGGGAAAATTTTAAGAGATTTTTTTCAAGAAACACGAAAAACATTTTTAATATGGCTTTTCTTAGATTTGCTAGTGAAGTTGGGTACTGTTTAGAACCTATTTCTTTCAATTTATTTAACAGTTTTCAATGGGGTTTAAATTAGGTTAATTGCCTGGCCACAGAGCAAAAACATTCCTTTTTTCTTGGAGTCTCGACTGGGTCTTGACAATATTTACCTGATGGCAAATTGCTCTGGCATGCATAAAAATATTAAACTTGCTAATTCAAAACCAATTAGACATTGTTCTTCAAAATTTCTAAACAATTCGACAGTTTTATGTTGTAAAAGCCTGCTAAGCAAGCACTTTAGAGCTAAGTAGTAAAAATTGGTGCAGATGTAAACCTGTGTTACACTATTTCTGTCTTGGAACTCTCCCTGTTATCTCCTAATGAAGGTACAGCTCCAAAACTCAGTTAAACGGTTCATCGGCTGGCTAGTAGTAAGGTTTCTTGAACTTTGTGGTAGTTGTCAGAAAAGGTAAGAGCCTTTCTCTTTATCTCTACCAATACTGTTGCTTTTAGCAACTTTAATGCTCACCAAACTGAATAGCTGGGCTCTAGCTCCATTGACGATGCTGGTACTAAAACTCATAACTTTTGTTATGAGCTTTAGTACCTTTTACTCAGATAGTACCTTTACTCTTATTTTTAATCAGACCATTGTGACTAGTTTTCCAGTTGCTACTTTAAATCATAGCTAGTTTTCCAGTTGCTACTTCAAATCATAGCTAGTTTTCCAGTTGCTACTTCAAATCATAGCTAGTTTTCCAGTTGCTACTTCAAATCATAGCTAGTTTTCCAGTTGCTACTTTAAATCATAGCTAGTTTTCCAGTTGCTACTTCAAATCATAGCTAGTTTTCCAGTTGCTACTTCAAATCATAGCTAGTTTTCCAGTTGCTACTTCAAATCATAGCTAGTTTTCCAGTTGCTACTTTAAATCATAGCTAGTTTTCCAGTTGCTACTTCAAATCATAGCTAGTTTTCCAGTTGCTACTTCAAATCATAGCTAGTTTTCCAGTTGCTACTTCAAATCATAGCTAGTTTTCCAGTTGCTACTTTAAATCATAGCTAGTTTTCCAGTTGCTACTTCAAATCATAGCTAGTTTTCCAGTTGCTACTTCAAATCATAGCTAGTTTTCCAGTTGCTACTTCAAATCATAGCTAGTTTTCCAGTTGCTACTTCAAATCATAGCTAGTTTTCCAGTTGCTACTTCAAATCATAGCTAGTTTTCCAGTTGCTACTTCAAATCATAGCTAGTTTTCCAGTTGCTACTTTAAATCATAGCTAGTTTTCCAGTTGCTACTTCAAATCATAGCTAGTTTTCCAGTCGCTACTTCAAATCATAGCTAGTTTTCCAGTTGCTACTTCAAATCATAGCTAGTTTTCCAGTCGCTACTTCAAATCATAGCTAGTTTTCCAGTTGCTACTTCAAATCATAGCTAGTTTTCCAGTTGCTACTTCAAATCATAGCTAGTTTTCCAGTTGCTACTTCAAATCATAGCTAGTTTTCCAGTTGCTACTTCAAATCATAGCTAGTTTTCCAGTCGCTACTTCAAATCATAGCTATTTTAATTTTTTTTTTCAAGATTAACTGTTCTGAGAACAAACAATCTTTTGTTACAAAAAATAAATGTAAAAATGGTGTGATCTAAGCTCTAATATTCTCTAATATTCTAAGCTAAGCTCTAATATTCTCAGTTTACTAAATCTTATATTTTATTTCAGAAGTTAGATTCCATCTCTAATACACAGATCTGATCATTTTTCAGTTTCTCAGTTTAAAATCTCATATTTTATTTCAGAGGTTAGATTCTAAAGATTTTTTGAAAATTTTTACACTGTCATAAACAAAAGTAAATCTAACATTTCATCTTTAATATATGGATCTGATCTCTAAAGGCTAAAAGAAATTTTTCTTAAACTTGCCCACTCTCTTTTTGTTATTCCCTAATAAAAAACAGATTAATCCACTGTTAGCCATTAATTTTATCACAGGAATACAAAAAATATATAGGCAAATAAACTAATAAACTGATTTCTATTTTACTCTCTTTTCAACCCAACTAATATTTATAACTATTTTATTACTTTACATGTTAGAAAACTCTTCATAAAAAGTTTTGAAAGCGAAAACAGTCTGACAAAATAAGTCAAGTAAAAGCCAACTCAAGGTTAAGTTATCATGAACTTAGCAACACATTCAATAAGAAAGGGATCATCCATAAATTACGCAATGTAAAACTTATTTAAAAAATATAAGTAGATGATTTTGCTCTTTTGCGTGCAGCTTTTGCCGGACTTTAAAGGTTGTTTATATATTTGGTTGAATTAATGACTCTGCAAATGAAATATTTTATTCCTTTCTCTTTTGTCTATAAGTTTAATTTTACATTACATAATTTATGGACGATCCCAAAATGCAAAAAATATCTTCCTTTAAAAACAGCTCAAGGTTTGAATACGATCCATATATATAATCTTTATGTGTCCTAAAGTGATCCTAAAGCAAAAGTTAGGCACCATTTGAAAACGAGTTTCATTTGAAATTTGCAATAATCATGTTAAATCATTGCAAAAAAAAAAAAAAAAGAAAAAGTATAGCTTGCAAAATAAGCATGAGGGGAATATTTTAATTTTTTAGATGTTTATTTTTGTTGTGCCAACTTTGATATATTGCAGTTTTTTTTTTAATAACAATTTTTAATAATTATAATCAAAATAATATTGCTAAACTTAATAGTGCCTCTTTGAGTGTGTTTGACACAGAACCTTTGGCAGCCATTGCAACTAAGGTAATGGCAAGCTCTCTTGCCATTGCTCTCTTGCATCTCTATGCACCATTTATTTTAATATGAAAATGTGGAATAAAGTGTATTCAAATATTTAACTTAAGTAAAACTTCAAATTATGTAATGTTCAAAATATATGATTAACAATAAAATATGCTTCAGTGGCTGAAATGGTTAGTTTGCAGCATTTTAGATGCAAAGTAGTTCAAATCCTACCACTGGTGCTTTTTTTTGTTTTAAATATTTTTTAGTTTTATAAAATACAAAATAAAACACTTTTGAAGTTTTATAAATACATACATAACATATATAAAAATATTATATACTATAACAAACAAATGGGAGAGATTTTTAAAAAAACTTAAAATTTCTAAAAACATAAAACATGCACAACAAATTTGTACCAACAAAATTGGTACAAATTTGTTGCGCATGTCGCGATAAAGAGATACTTATGTTATTAAATGTGCTCAGGTAATACGTCCTCATAAGCTCTGAAACTTAATTAAAAAAATATTTATAAGTCCATCTTGCTACTCCAGAAAGTGCTCTGGAGCCCATCCTGCAACTCCAGAAGCTGCAAATGACACCAATGACAATGTATTAAATTACTGAGCTATTGAAGTTATGCAAGAGAACTTTAGAAGTTATGCTTAGAGAAAATTATAAAATAGTTTAAACAAACTATTTTATAAATCTCATATAAGCTCTATGTATGTGGAAAAGATGCGTATGTTAAATTTTTTGTTCTTAAAGCAGTTTTTTTTAATGAATTGTTTTTCTACTGTTGACTAATAAATAAGTAAATAAGGGAGAAGTATAGAAATGATCAATGTGGAATAGATGAGTAAATAAATAGTCCGTTTGGTGTAGATCCATATTTTACTGGCACGACCAGCTTATGTATATAAGAAAAATATATAGAAAAGGTTGGTGTGGATTAGACTTACAAAGACCTGTATTTTTACAGGTCCGGTCAGCTAGTTATAATTAATAACATTTTATTTTTAGTATGTTGTTGAAGATGTATGATTTGTTTAATAAAAGTTTTTTATTTATACTGATATCTTAAAGTTGTGAAATAACTTTATTTTGGACAGTTTTTAATTTTTTCTCCGATTCAAAGTTCTCTAAAGTTTAGGCTGGGGTGGAGTTTAATGCTAATAAAGATATTTGTATGAGGGGCTTCTACAGTTAAGGAGATGAAAATTTTGAAAAAAAAAACTGCAGCAAAGTCCTCGGCCTGAATTTTGTAATTTTTATTTCTTTTTTTAACCCTCTCTCGACCCTATAACCCTGAAGATAAACATAATTAATCTGTTTATGTTTATATTTTATTATCTAGAAAACAATTTTTAGTTTGAAATTCTGAAAAATAAAAAAGCCCTAGATTAAAAACAATCATAAATAAATCACCATTTTTGAAACCTAGAAAAATTTGCATAAAAACATTTAACTGTCATTAAAAAAAATATTGGTGAAAAAGATAGATACTAAAAAATAAAGTATTGCCATCACAGTTATAATGAATTTATCATATTTGGAGAAATAAAAATAAATATACTTAAATACACACTTGTTTCCTGGCAACTTCTTTTTGCTTATTGGTCGGATCAAGAACATTTGCAAGCCATTTAACTCCATAGTAAGAAATCACAGAAATAAGTAACAATTCTATCCCAAAAAATGCTAATTGGCCACCAGTGGGATGACCAGGCATTACTAGTATTAATTTATTTGCTTATATTTTGTTTTTTATTTTCTAAATTGTAAATAATGTATCATCATCATCATCATCATCATCATCATCATCATCATCATCATCATCATCATCATCATCATCATCATCATCATCATCATCATCATCATCATCATCATCATCATCATCATCATCATCATCATCATCATCATCATCATCATCATCATCATCATTATCATCATTATCATCGTCATCATAATTATCATTATTTGGAGCATGTGAGACTTACAATAAGTTAATCATCAGATAGTTTAAAAAACTTAATACAGGTTTGTTAGAACAGGAAGGAATAAACTTATGTAAAAAATTTGTTTTGATAAAACAATTGAACTAATTTAAAAAAATTTAGAAAATTAATTAAAAAAAAAAATTAAAAAAAAAAATTCTGTTAACCAATAATAATAGTGGTATACTCACAATGCTACAAATTATAAAATTATGAAATCCTGTTTTAAAAACAATTATTAACAGTGCTTTATAAATAACTAAGCAAAAATAATCAAAAATAAACCTTATTACCTTTAGATATTTTTAGCATGCTGTAATAAATCAAAAAAAATTTTCCAAAAATATATAAAATCATTATTAAAATATTTGTTTGTTTTCTTTATTTCATTTGCCAAATAACTGATTTCATTCAATAGTTTTGATTAAAAAAAAAAAAAAAACTAATTTTAAAAATATTCAAAACTCTATACAAAAATAATTCTTTATTAACATGGTATTTAAAAAACATTTTGCACAAAATGCACTTTAACAATTTAAATGCTATCTAGGGGGTAGCGGAGGTGGAATTTTAATATCACTTCGTTTTGGTAAAGGTGGAGGTATTTTATTTAGAGCTTCTTTTCCATTTAATTGTAAAGATATATTTGAATTTTCGGATATATAATCTAATGAAAATTCAGTTTTGTTTATCAATTCCACTGGTTGAACATTAGAGCGTGGCGGAAGTGGAGGTAGTGCACGGTTCTTTCCAAAAGTTTCAACCGATATTTTGTTATTATTATCAGATAATTGTGAATGAATGGTTTTGTTGATATCCTTCTGCTTATTTAAAACCTCAATATTCTCATCAGAACTGTTTGATGATTGAATTTCAGAACAATTTAACAAAGAATTTTTAGATAGCAAATGATTTTGATGTAAATCCAAATTAGCATTTTCTTTGGGGATTTGCTCTTGTCCAATGCTCCAGCCCTTTGAGGGATTTTTAGAATACACTTGATGAAAATCTTCAAGAGGAGATGAAACATTTGATGGTATATTTTTTATATTATTGTGAGGTAATTGACTATCCATCATCATGTCTTCTAAATTTAAAGTTACTGGTCGCAATTTTGGTCTTGGCGGAGGCTTCTTTAAAGGTTGTGAAGATGAAACAATTGGTTGCTTGTCAGTTAGTGAATGAACAGCTGGAATATTAGGAACATCTGCATTCAAACAACTTTCAACGCTATTTGATCTACTAATATTATCAGAAATTCTTAACGAAGGAACAGGTTTCTTTTGATTTTGCTCATTTTGGATTTCTGTGTTCAAAAAACTATCAATACTGTTTGATTTACTGATGTGAGATGGAATTCTCGATGGAGGAGCAGGTTTTTTCGGTGGCTGTTCACTTGAAATTAGATTAGTGTTAACTACTAGTTCAGTAGCAGGCTTTGAAATTTGTGGTAATTGACTTAAACTTTTTGAAGAATGTATAGGTTTTGCAGCTTTTATAGATAATTTTCTAGTTTTATTGCTTGTTTGGTCTAGAGTCATCTTCGAAATAAATTCATCTACATTAGAATGATCAACATGCATCAAATGCTGAATATTGAAAGGTTTACTAACACCATCATCAACTTTAATATCAACTGAATCATCAGCATTACTTCCTATGGCCTATAATAATAAAAATGATTAAAAAAATTAACTTTATAACATTTTATTTTTAAATAATAAGGTTAAATTATCTATTTTAGTGTCTAATTTGATGTCAATAAAAGACATACTTGCTGTAATTTTAGATCAACTTGGCGTGATTCAATTTCTCTTAAAGGTTCTTCTTTGTTGACAGCTTTTTTGGGTGCAGTAGCTGGTCTTGGTGGTGCAGGAGCTTTTACAGGATAAACAGATTGACTATTAGGAGGATCTAAAACGGAACTTACTGGAATAGGTTGTTCAGTAATTATATTTGTCTTATGCTTCAATATAGGTGGCTGTGGTTTTTCTGGTTTTGTAGTTGCTTTTGAAGGAGGTATATTTGGTCTTTTTGGCGGAACAGATATCACAGCTGAATCTTTGTTAACCTTTCCTTGGAGTTTTGGTTTTGTAGAAGGTAAAGTGCTTGTTATATCATACTTCAACTTTGCAGTTACTTCCTCATCACACTCCTACAAAAAATGATTATTATTAATAACATCTGGAAAAAAATGGAAAACAAATATATTTTCATAACAGCAATGAATGTGAAGCTCCTAAATTCTAGGAACCCCAATTTTATTAGTTACAAAATGACTATTTCTGGTCTTTGGTCTGATCTTACAGACATGTGGGCTTAATCTCTCTCTCTTCTTTTATATACCTACCTATCTTATTATCTATCTATGTATATATGTTTCTATCTATCTATGTTTCTATCTATCTATCTATCTATCTATCTATCTATCTATATATATATATATATATATATATATATATATATATATATATATATATATATATATATATATATATATATATATATATATATAAATATATATATATATATATATATATATATATATATATATATATATATATATATATATATATATATATGTATATATATAATTGTTCAGTTTTCGCTAATGATACTACCATTTATTCTTGTCACGATAAGAAGCCAACTCCCTCTGATTGCTTGCAGGGAGCATTTGAGTTTGAAAAGGATCTCACTTCTGCTACAGCATGGGGCTCACAGTGGCTGGTGAACTTTAATTCAGATAAAACTCAATTTTTTTCAGCCAATCGTTATCGCAATAATTTACACCTTCCTATATTTATGAACGGTAATGTACTTGATGAGTTATCTGCCCTTCATCTTCTAGGACTAACTCTCACTTCTGATCTTTCTTGGAAACCTTATATCAAATCCGTTGCAAAATTAGCATCTGCTAAAGTTGCATCTTTTTATAGAGCTCGACACTTTTTTACTCTGGATTCTATTCTCTATCTCTATAAATCTCAAATCTGACCTTGTATGAATATGCCATATCTAGGGCGGATCTTTTAATGATGCCCTTTCTCTTTTAGACAAGGTGCAAAAACGCATTGTAAACATAGTTGGACCTGCTCTTGCAGCCAACCTTCAACCTCTGTCACATCGTCATAATGCTGCTTCTCTTTCTCTTTTCTACAAATACCATAATGGGCACTGCTCTAAAGAGCTTGCGTCTCTTGTGCCATCTACTAAAATTCATTCTCGTGTTACTCGTCATTCAATTAAGTCTCATCCTTTTTCTGTTACTGTTCCTAAAGAGTTGTTATAGATAGATATAAATATATATATATATATATATATATATATATATATATTTATATATATATATTTATATCTATCTGTATCTGCATCTATATATATTTTTTTTTAATTTTAATTCACCTCCTCAAGGCCGAGAAGGCCACTACAGACGAGGAGGCTACTTATTCGTGGCTATAACCCTCTCTCAACTCTATAACTCCGAAACACGAACCTTGACGAACAAGGCCGCTGCGCGGAGAAACGAGTTGAGCGCGGTACTACCAGGGACGTGGTGGGGATCGAATCTATATCTATATCTATATATCTATATATATCAGGGGCTATTCTAGGCCATTTTTGACAGCGCCATCTGCTCTCACCCTCTAAATGTGTTCTATATAATAAAATAATACTAGAATTATAAATTTTCAAAAAATAAATACTTTTAGGGATAGCTCAAGACCCTCAAACATTAGACGAGTCCCTATAATTATCAAAAAAATAGTGCTTCAAAAGTATATCATGTTGTGTCTCAAAAGAAGCGAAATTATATAAAAATTTTAACTTTTATGTTTTATTTTTTTCCGAAATATGGGAATGGTCAGTCCTACCCATTTGAATATCTGTTATGTATATTTGGGAGATAGGGGCGGTAATTTTAAAATTTTTCATTTCAGTGTAAATAAAAATAATGCCAAGAAGCAATAGTTGCAAAAAAATCTCATCATAAAGTTTTCCTTGTGGAAACAAGAATTAGAACAATACCTATAACACAATAGCCAACTAAGAAAACTGTATTGCAATATTATCATTAAAAAAATTTTATGCTATGAGCTGTTTTTCACGTGTCCTTTTACAAAGTAAAGAATATTTGGCAAAAAGCAAGAGTTTCGTTATTTTTAATACTGACAAACATGGGTGTTTTTTATATAAAAATTCTTTTTAATTTATAGTTTTTACTACTTTTTTGGAAATCAGGTTGGTTTGGTTGTCCTAATTAGAATAATCTATTTGGCTATAAGTTTTAATAATAAAGTTTTTTATAAAAATTCAGGTTTCTGAATCATTAAGATTTCTTCAAAATTGCATCAATAATGATAGACTACAAGTCAATAATGATAGACATCAAGAATAGACTACAAGTATTTTATAAAATTACCAGTTCTTTAATCAGGTGGTAAAGTAAGACTTTAAGTTTAAATTTATGATGGCTTCACATCATGCCAGGTTTATAGCACAGGGAGTTATTACTTAACATGTGACTTTTTTCAGCCATAATTCAGTAGCTTATGTCTTAATATAATATCAATGCAAGAAAGAAAATAGTTTCATGAAATAGCTTCATTTACAATACTGTTTTATGTTCTGTGTTTTATTAGAGTTGTTTTTATTAGCTCTGCTACACCCCTTAGATTTTAAAGCTTTTAATGAAATGATATTCTGAGCTCTGTTTTAAACCAGCACTGAAATTAATTAAAAAACACAATTGGTGTTTAAATGAAAGATTTGTAGTAATGTCTAGCAGATAAATGTTTATCTGTAGATCAGTAACACAAATTAGCCCTTAAAATATCTCAAATAGCTAAGCCTACCAGTTATAAGATTGAAAAAATGAGTTCTGAAATTTTTATTAACAGTGAAAATAAAATAACAAATGAAGATTTTATTGATCCTGAATTGTTGGTTTTTCTTCAATTTATTAAAAATGACATTACATAAGACAGAATGATTAAAAATAACTTATTTCCTGGTTATATTAGATTTAAAAATAATGTCACTGGTCTTCTCATTGTGAATGACAGTGCAGAACGTGCTTTTAAACTTGGTCAAGACTTCATTAAAACTTTCATAATGGTAGAACATAACCAAGCTAATTTACTGTTTGTTGTTGATCATTATCTAAAATTTCAGACATGAGATAAAAAATCTTGCCTGAAGCTTTAAAATAACCTTTCTTTTAAAATAAAATACTATTGTAAAAAATGTTTTTAATTTAAAATACGTAAGAAATAATTTGTTTGACCCCCAACCCAAATAAACACAACATGATTCAAATGAGTATGACTCATATTTTACAATAAAACAAAAAATAATCTAAAACCAGACATATCAGGCTACAAAAATAACTCTTATGATATTTTTAAAATATTTGAAAGCGACCTTACCCCACTATGAATAAAAAATAATTTTTTTTGTAATTTCGGACAGCTGGGACCAACCATAGTAGTACCCACCACAATAAAATTTATATATATATATATATATATATATATATATATCAAAATGAATCACAAAAATTATTATGGTATTTTTTTTATTGACTTTGGTGTTTTATGCCCCACCCTAATAATTTTTATTTATTTTTTTTTTTTTATTTTACTTCACCTCCTCAAGGCCGAGAAGGCCACTACAGACGAGGAGGCTACTTATTTTGTGGCTATAAAAAATTAAATAAAAACATTAAGAATGTTTTTAAAAATATTGTGATCTTTTAATTTGGGTTTTTGTGGTTTTGTGGTTCAAACTTAGCAGATGTTAACTTTGCAACAAATTTAATTTCTAAGAAAGATCGAAAGTAAGAGTTAATCCAAGAAGATGAAGTGCAGATGACTCATCGAGAACATTACTGTTTATAAATATAGGAAGATCTAAATTAGTGTGATAACAATTGTCTGAAAAAAATTTGAGTTTTATCTGAATTAAAGTTTACCAGCTACTGTGAGCCCATGCTGTAGCAGAAATGAGATCCTTTTCAAGCTTAAATGCCCCCTCTAAGCAATCAGAAAGTGTTGGCTTAACATGACAAGAATAAATGGTAGTATCATCAGCGAAAAATGCCACCTTAGATATGAGAACATCTGAAATGTTAATGTAAATTAAAAAGAGTATAGGGCCAAGGATTGAACCTTAAGGAACCTCTGAAGTTACAGAATATGAAGAAGAATGATGTCCATTGAGGACAACTTTTATACTACGATTGGAATGGAAGGATTTAATAATCTTAAATCCTTCCATAGATGTGTAGATGTTACCAGATACACCATAAAATAAAGCTTATGAAGAAGACCAGCATGTCAAACATTATCAAAAGCTTTAGAAATGTCAAGAGCAATGGCATTAACCTCTCCACCTTTATCTAATGCACAATAAAACCTATCGGTTATTACTGATAGCAAATCAGCTGTAGAACAAGAAGATCGAAATCCATATTGATGATCAGAAAGTAAGTTATTAGATTCAAAATGAGAGATTAAGTGTTTGTTAATTAAAGATTCAAAAACCTTGCTTATGATAGGAAGAAGACTAATGGGGCGGTAGTTAAATGAATCAGATAGCTCTCCAGAATTTTTGTAAATAGGGATAACAGATGCTGCTTTCTGGCAGACTGGAAAACAAGACTCTGATAAGTACTTGTTAAATAACTTTGAAAGTATGGACGACAGCTCTGGAGAACACTTCTACAAGACTATATCAGGTATGTTGTCCAGACCACAAGCTGTAGAAGAGTTTAAGCAGGAAATCACTTTAGATACAGAAGCTGGAGTGATACAAACATCAAGCAATGGATAAACATGTTTGACGGCTAAAACAGGTAGAATGCAATAGTGGAATCAAGAGATGATATTGATGAAAAGTTCTTAGCAAACAATTCAGCTTTTTCATTAGGTGAGGTGACAAAATCTGGACCATACAAGAGAAGTGGAATAACAGATTTGCCTTTATTATTGATACTGTTAAAGATTCCATGCCAGCCTGAATCCACAAAGTTATGTAAGAAGCATATTTGTCAGGAGAAAAGAAGAAAGATTTCTACCCAAATATACCTATATACACACATATATAGATATACACACATATAGATATACACACACACACACATATATATATATATATATATATATATATATATATATATATATATATATATATATATATAAAATATATATATTTAAATAATTTTAAAAAATGTATTCTACAAAATAGAGTGCTCAATGTTTATAAAAGAACAGAGCAATTATAAAATAATTTATAATTTATATATATATTATATTATATATATATATATACATAAATATATATATATATATATATATATATATATATATATATATATATATATATATATATATATATATATATATATATATATATATATATATATATATATATATACACACACACACACACACATACACTTTTACATATATATTTATCAATACCACAGCAGCATGTATTATTAATAAAACATACTTAGTATTTTATTTACCTTGTCTTCTTCATCTTCTAATGGAAATTCTTCTTCTAATATATCATCAGGTAGTTCTTCTAAATAATCTTCAATATAATCAGCTTGTTGATTTAAAACTTCAGGTTCCAATATTGATCCTTGTCGCCCAACTGCTGAAAACAATAGTTTTGAAATTTCATGTTGTTTACTTGGAACCTTTTTTTGCTTGTCATTAAAACTAAAATCATCATCATCTTCATCTTTATGAATAAGATCACCAACAAAATCATCAACAAAAGTGCCAAAAGAATCTTCCGAATGTTGTAAATAATTACCACAAACTAATGTTACACGCAATGTTCCATTACCAAACTATATTAAAACAATGAGATTTAACTACATTAACAGTATAAATTAACTTTTAGTAAAAATTAAATTTAGTTAAAAAACTACCTTTTTCTCATTGAGATCAACTGCATTCTTTGCAGAAACTCCATTATCAAATGTGCAATAGAATCTATTATCTAAAAGTCTGAATAAATATTTTTTTTTGCTTTAAATCAATTGTTTATCATAATTATATATGGTTATAATATTTTTATTGTTTATTATAACTATATATGGTTGTTATGATATTATAAATTAGGGCTCGAATTTATCGCATTGCAATCGTAATTGCTTTTTGGACCTTCATGGTTAGTTTAAAATAAAATAAAAATATTTTAACAATTTTTTTTTGTTATTTTTCTTTTCTTTTCTTTTTTTAGCATATTTTGGTCATTCTTAAAAGTATAGAATATTTCTATCTGAGGTTTAAATTAGGGGTCATAAACTCGTCTAAATTTAACTTTTAAATAGAAGTACAATCATTTGCTTTGTTGCGCTGATTTTTATTCAACATTTAAATCTCTGAGAGGAAGCCAATAATTCCTATTTTTATTTTAGAACCAATAGGCTGGTTGAATAAAAAAGAGGAATCGCTTTTACTCAGCAATTTTGGAGTAAATGCTCAACCGATTCCTTACAAACCAAATTTTGAGACATGTCCTACCCAGTTTTAATGTTAGCCAACAGTAAACTATAACTTTCACTAAGGAAAATCCAAAGCAAATTGCATGTTTTCGTGGTAAGTGCAAATGCATATGTTGTGAGGCAACTTTGGGATAGATTGAACATTTATTGGTTGTAGTTCACAAAACCTGCCTAATCCAAATCTTGATATATAAATCTTATCATGTCTAAATAGCTTCTTTCAGGGTTAACAAACTTAGACCTTAATCATCTTTTTATTTATAACTACTGAGACAAAGTCCTAAGCATTTGGAGATATCATCTTTGCAGTATAACTTTTTGACTATTATTTCAACTTCAGTCAAAGCTAATTTATTAATGCTACTTAATGGGAGAGTAGTTTCCTTATTGAATGACTCATTCAGAAATGTGACTAGGACTTCGTAACATTTTGTGGGATCTTAGGGCAATATTTTTTTTTTACTTTCTTGAGTAACTTTCTTTTTGTTTGAAGATTCATAATAGTAGAAAAGTTCACTGTTTTTGCAGAAGTTTTCTTTTTGGGTCAGTACTTTTGGGTTCTTACTTTTATTTTTTGTTTTTATTTAATTTTTTTTCCAATGTTTTATTTGTTGACAATGAGCTTTTTGATGATCAGCATTCATAATTTTTTTTCATTCTAAATAACACTGTCAATAAGCAGTCTGACAAGTTTTAATAGCCTGTTTAGAACTTTTTGCCATTTAAAAATGAAAAAACAAATTTTGTTAAACTTTTGCAAAAACTTTTTTTTGTAAAAACCTTACAAAACAGCGCAAGAACTTTGGTAAATGCCTGTAGTTTTTAACTTACGTTACACAAATTCAAAATTAAAATATACTTCAACTAAGCATCTTTATTCAAAACTTTAAATGTAAAAATTCAACATTTAATATTCTTTCACATATGATTTTAAAAAATTTAAGTTTTTAACTAAATTTTAGAGAAAAAAAATCTTTATTATGTTTTTGTTAACTCATGTTACATGAAAATTGCAAAATTTCTTTGGTTATTTTCTTGAAATATACATATTTTTTAAAGTATAAAATCTTACTAACAACAAATTGAATATGTTAGTTCCATTTTCACACTAAATTAATTCGGATTATCAAATAAATTCATGGTTGAATAACATTTTACAATGATACTTTTATTATGCAACAATGAGAAAAACTGTAACTTTCAGAAGCATAAAAATAACTCAAGTAAATTAATTTTAGAACTAAGGTATTTACTTAGTACTTTAGTATTAAGGTATTTTAAAAAAAAACTTTCATGTGTCTACATCATTATTCATTTGCTAAAAGTTGATTAAAAAGAGAATAAAATTTGACTTTTCTTTCATTTTCCATTGTGGAATTGCCCCCTCCCTCCCTCCCTCACACACACACACACACTGGCATATAATTCATTTTCGCATTAGTTATCATTATTTTCATTTCGGTTAGCATTATTAACATTCTGATTTACACAAAAAGTAACCATTTTTAAACCGAAAAATTAAAAACAATTGATTTCTATTGGTAGCAGCATAAAGAACTTATTCCTTAGCAATAGCTTATAAGCAAAGCAAAACTTTATTCACGTATTTTGAGCAATTGCTTTTGCTGTGAGCATTTTGAGCAATTGCTTTTGCTGTGAGCATTTTGAGCAATTGCTTTTACTCAGAGCAGTTTTTTATTTATCTGGCCTAATAATATAATAATAATATACTACTTTTATTTTAGAGTTTAAATGAAGTGTGATTTAATTGATAGATAAAGTGCATAATAGTAAATTTATTTATAAATTAAATCAAAACAATTTGTTTCCATAGTTACTCGACTATTAAATATACTTAATATGCTTATAGACATTTGCTTATAAAAGTTAACCATATAAATGTAACATTTTTTAAAATATTTTCATATTATTTATAATGATATCAAGATTAAACATTTTTTATAAACAATTGTTTTTTGAAATTTGTTTTAAAAAAATATTTATTTAAGCAAGAAAAGTTTAATCTTCTAAAATTCTCGTATTCAAATAATCTTGAATTTAAAATTTTGAAAAATTTAAAAGAATTAATAATTATTTTAAATTATTAAAAAGAATGCTTAAATATATTTTTTTCAAAAATAAAATTAAAACATTTACTTAAACTAATGGAAGTATAATTAAAACCTATGGAAATATAAATAAATGGAATTTTTTTCTTAATTTACTTTATTGCAAAATATTTTAAACCAAAAAATTGAATTAAAACATCAACTTAAAAAATATCCCTTTCATCCCTTTAACTCGTTCAATAGTCCACAAGATCAAGAAGGAATAAATTAGAAAAAACATGGTAGCAAATAAGTTTACTTGATTGTTTTTAATCTCATTTGGTCTATAGAACGAGCATGTCTTTGCGCAAATATTTAAAGTTTTACCCTGATAATGTTTTAATTTATTAATTAGAATAATTCTATTTATTTACTTTATTTTATTTTTATGTTATTAATGTTATAAACTGTACAAAAAGCAATACAACAACATAGGAAAATTATTTTATTGTTATTTAACTATAAAAGCATATTAAATTGTTTGTGTAAAAAGGTGCACAAAACCTTTATATAGCTTTTTACAAGAACAATTTAAAATACATTAAAAATAACATGCCTTATTGTCAGCATGAACAGGATATTAAATAGTTTTTCTTAACTGTTTAAGTTGGTTTAATTATTTTGCGTTTTAAATGTTAAATTTTCATGTACTATTGCATTGGTTTTGAATGCATTATTTGCACATTACATTATAACTGCAACTTAATCTTTAAGTTGTATCTTAAGCTGTTAACTATAACAGTAACTTTTATAGCTCTTTGTAGTTATTTTAAACCCTGCTAAAAAAAACATTATGAGATACTTAAATACATGTTTAAAAAACAACAATTACAAATCAATGTACAAAAGATACAACTTTGTAATAATGCAACCCTCTTACCACAAATTAGTGAGAAGGGTAGGGGTAGGGGGAGTTTTAGCGATTAGATTTTTTTGCGTTAATTCGAGCCCTGTATGTTATTTATATTTATTTGTTATATAAATTTAGTAATGTTTACATAAATACTGTTACATATATATATATATATATATATATATATATATATTATATATATATATATATATATATATATATATATATATATATATATATATATATAGATATATAGATATACATATATATATACATATATAAATATATATATATACATATATATATATATATATATATATATATATATACATATATATATACATATATATATATATATATATACATATACATATACATATACACACATATATATATATATATATATATATATATATATATATATATATATATATATATATATATATATATATATATATATATATATATATATATCAACCCTCAGAATTAGGGTCAACCTTAAAGTGTTTAAGGTTGACAAAAAATTTTTTTTTGTCAACCTTAAACACTTTAAGGCCGAGCTCATTTCTATGTTTTGTGTTAAGACCTATTTACCAATTTATTTTTGCCGACCTGATGCTGAAAGATTGAGGTCGGAAAATTATTTCCGACCTCATTTTTCCTAATTCCAAGGGTTGATATATATATATATATTTTTTCAAAAAAGGTCACCCACAACATAAAATTTTTTAAATGGTACATATGTAGTATTTGCAGGCAGTAGCATGAATTTTTAAAAAGACAAATGTGTAAAACAAAAAAAATATGATCCATTTAATGAGGTTTTTGAAATGGCGAATAGCTCTGCAGTGAGGACAAAAGATTGCATCTTCTTCAGATTGAAAGCAAAGGACAGGTCAGGTATACAACTAAAAAGGCTTCTAGTTTCAAAACTATCCATCCATCTAAAAAAAAGGACAATTTATTATTTAAATCTATTTTAACAACAGCTAAAGAAATAGCGTCAATTTCTGAATATAAGTCTGAGGCTGAATATCAAAAATCTGAAGGTTCAAAAGTACAGCCCACAAGCAAGACAAAACTGCAAAAAAATTATGACATCTTCAAAGTAAACGTATTAGTAAGCAAGAATATCAAATGTTAGTGTCGAAGCAAAAATAAAGTTACAAGCACTACAAGATCTACCAGAGAGAAAAACAGGTATAGCAGCTATTCTTGATGAATACAATTTATAGAGGAGTATAAAGATGATCATCATAGGAATGTAAACACTGGAAGAAGGAATGGGATTGTCAGTCAGTAACAAAAATGTTTTACTGAAAAGAAACTGGAAGAACCACAATTCATTGGCTGTCAACATCATGTACTTGACTGGGTACTTTGTGTAGTAATGGATAAAGAACTTGGAGAAAACAACATGTTGCCTACTATCAAATATTTGTTTATCCTGAAACTTGTAAAGAACTACGAACAGCTCAGGAAGAATTTCAAGAATGGTAAGGAAGTGATTACAGAAAGAGCTAGAATACTTGAGTTGAATGAAATAAAAATTTCATACTTATATGAAATTTCTATTTCATTCAACTCAAGTATTCTACTTTTTTGAAGAATTTAGAGTATTTCTTAAAGTTTAAGAAAATACCTAAACTAAATAATGGATAATTAAAAGATAGAATTCCCAAGCAATGCCAGCTTATTTGGCATTTATTCTTCTACCAGAGAGAAGAGACTCACTACTCGGTATTTATAGATACATCTCTTGGTCTATAGTTATCATCTAATGGTCTGCCTGACCGTTTTTTTACTGACCAAATGAACAATTCAAATGATTATTGAAAGTTATGTAGCAGCTTGCATGGTCATCAAAAAGCGATAAACTCAGTGAAAAAGTTTTGGAAAAACCATTGAAACTAGAAATTCCCAGAACAAATTAGTGTGCAGAACAAATAATCAAGTGTCTTCAAGATATTTTTGGGATCTGTAAAAAGAAAGAGAACCTCCAAATTTATAAGATTTATTTTTAACAAAGCATAAGAATTGTTTATTATGCTCTAATTAAGCTGAATAATACAAAAAATTTTTTTTTGATATATATACAGTAGTTTTTTTTCTACTTGTAGAATTGTTATTTAAGTTTGTAATTTTATATTTATTTGCAATTTAGAATGTTATAATGTAACAACTGTTAAATGCTTAAAAACTACATAATAACTCTCCAATTTAAAATATTAGAATTAAAAATAAGGATTATAAAATTATTTAAAATTTTATCCATACACATTTATTGTAAATTAAAATTTTAGGTTTGTGGATGATCTTTTACTACAAGAAAATCAAATTAGTAATTTTTCATTATTTTTGTACAAATAGTCATTGATTTATGACTCAGGACAAATGGTCACAAAAGATATCACCCTAATATATATAGGGGAGAGTAGGGCACCATGAAACATGTAATTATGGAGGCATCTTAAAAGGAGTGACAACCACTTTCATATGGTAAAACAGTTACTACTAAAGTTATGTTTAGACAAACATTCTATCATTTGATATCATTAAGTCTGGGAGAGGTCAAAAATTGTTTTTTTTTTTATGACAAAGTAATTTATTAGTTTTAAATGTTGCTTAAGGGTTGTTTATAAAGTACGTACGCTTTTTTTTTGCCAACCCCCCGAACCCCCGCATTTTGCCATACACTTTTTTGAATACCCTCTTCCTCCCTAAAAGTACATACACTTTTAACTTATGAACCCAACATTTTATGATATTTTTTTAAATTTAGTTTCTCCATACTTTTATAATTGGCTTACTGCCCTCTTATCTCAAAAACCCCATTTGCAGACCCCCTCTTCCTGTCTGAGCGTACGTACTTTATGGACGATCCCTATGTTTTAAGCTATTCAATGTGATTATCTGTAAATCTGATTATTAAGTAAAATCTGATTATTAAGTAAAATCTGATTATTAAGTAAAGTTATTATGTAAACTACAATCCATAAGCTTCATTAAACAGAACTGCTAAAAAAAAGTTAAAAAAAAAAAAATTCTATTAGCAAGTATGAGGTAACTTGATACAACAATTTTATTTTAAATAGCCTCACAAGTTTAACCTGTTATATTTTGGTAATTAGTAAATTTAATTTTGGAGTAATAAATTTATACAACAAATTAAAATTTTTTACGAAGCAAAAACCAAAAGATATATATATATATATATATATATATATATATATATATATATATATATATATATATATATATATATATATATATATATATATTATACTATATATATATATATATAATATATTATACTATATATATATATATATATATATATATATATATATATATATATATATATATATATATATATATATATATATATATACGTTATACACGGTAGTTACTTGAATTGTAATACGAGGCATTATATTGTCATAATATTGTGTTATATTTCAGTTTTAACAATTTAGAGTGGTAATACATTTAGGTGTAACAAATTAAGATGTAACATTCTTGTGATTCACATTTCATATTTATTTGTTATCAACCATGTTAATAATTATTTTTTCAATATACAGCATATACCATTATTATCTATTTAAAATGATTTTTAAACATTTTGAAAATGAATTTGAGAAAAACATTCAAAGAAAAATTAAATAATAAACATAAACAATTGGAATATACCTTAACATAACAAGGTTTCCATATTCACTTAACAGTAGCACAAGCTTGTCCAAGTCGATTTCCATTTCACTCCCATCAAATTCAACATCAATAGAAACTGTAGGTTCGTTAAGTTCTGAATCTTTCATTACTTCTTTTTGAACTTCTTGCAACTTGGATTTAAGTGTCTGTTCAACTTCTATGTCAATTACTGCAATGACTGGTCTTAAAAATAAATGTTAATTTAAAATGTAGAAACCAAAAAAAAAAAAAAAAAAAAAAAAGTTCCGCAAACTGTAAAAAAAAAGGTTCTGTAAACTTTTTTTGCTCTGGATAAAATTTTTCCCAAACCTCATATTCAAATTTGGCATGGGTATTAACTAAGGTGGGAGCCAGTAGGATCAAAGTATATTTTAAAAATAATTACATAAGAGCCAATCTACTGCAATCATGTGGAAAAAGTGTATATATAGTAAAATCACAATGCTTATATAATTTGTGATACCGCTTAACAAAATCAGGCGCAAATTACTTTACTGACATGGCCAAATTACAAAATCATTTTACTATTAAAATTAATTTAAAAAGTCAAAAATTAATCAAAAAATTCTAAAATTAATTTAAAAACTCAAATTTTTTATACAATATAATTAAGATAGTAAATAATACTGTGTGAAAAGTTGAAGTTATTATGGAATATATTTCTAAACATATTGGAAAGAAATTCTCAAAAAAGACGGTAAAAAAAGATTTATTCAACTTTTTCTATGTGGGGGAGGGGGGGGGGGGAGGGAACCTAAACTATTTAGTACATATTATTTTTTTCTTAGTCTAAACCTCAATTAAAAAGTTAGCCTGATAATTCAAAATTTTGACATATTTGCTTAAATGCAAATGTTGTTGTATTTAAAATTTTTTTTTTTTTTTTTTTACAAAAAACATCAGCAAACTTCAGTAAACATCAAGCAGTTTAAAGTAAATTTCCAGAAAAAACTTATCTATGATAAGTGAAAATTTTTTTTTTGGTTATTTCTGTTGTGTTTGGGTAGCAGCCTTAAAAATAAAAACAAAATATTTGTGGCATTTAGGTAGCATCACTTTATTTTCTTGTTTAAAGGTAAACAAAGAATGTGGCCAAATAGCCCCAGTTTGTTTACATTTGAAAAATTGATGAAATTAATATTTTAACAATTTTTAAAATGTTACAATATTAAAAAAAAAAAAAAAAAAAATTAAAAGTTAAAATAAAAAAATAACTTTAAAGACATCTAGAAGACATTAGCACATCTAGAAGAGGTTTGGGATTATTTGATTTTTCTCAAGACCTGCAACAATCAAAGTGTAATAAAAACTCTAACAACATGCACCAGTACAAGAAACTTGAAAATGAAACATAAAACTGACATTTTAAAATGTAAAAAATAAAATGTAATAACTCGGCCTCTGAGTATTTTGTAACTAAAATACCAAAAATTGAAAAAAATTTCAGTTTTTTTTTTTTTTTTTTTAATGTGATTTATTTGCTCAAGACCGAGAGAACCACTACAGTTGAGGAGGCTAATTTTTTGTGTGGTTACTACCCTTTCCAACTCTTTAAAAAAGATATATTATCTCAAAAAGTCATCAAACTGCTTGTGAGATATATTTATGAAATTTTTTGACTCAAAAAACAAATAACTTGTTCATTAAAATAAATCATTCTAATTAATGGCAAATTTAGCCATAAATTTTATAAGTATATTATTTACAAACATGAGATACATGAACTTAAATATTCATTCATCATAATCGAGCATTGTAATCTCTTGGAATATTATGGTTACATAGCACAATACCAGCAGCTAAAGCCATTGAACTATTTGCAAAAAAACTTGATCAATTTGAATTAAATTTGAACAAAGATATTTTGCCTCTGTTACCAATGGAACTAGCTTGATGAAAAAAATTGGCTATGACATTAAACCTGAGCATGAAACTTGTTACAATCATGCTATTTATAGACGTGTAAATAATATGCTTTTCTAAAAAAACCATGCTACATTATTAAACAATTGTTGTAAATAAAGCTAATGATACTGTTGCAGTTATTAATTACGATGACAATGAGAAATAAATTAAAAATCTGATGGAATATATATAAAATATTCAAATATATAATGAAGGTTTGGTAACACCCATGACAATTAAATTTTAAAAACCTGTGGCCAAAATTAAACATTTAGTAAAAAATGTTTTGCATGTCACCTGTAAAGAAAGATGAAGATCTTCAGTCAAATATTGTTAAAACATTTGTCAAAGAAAAAACTTTGATTTGTGACTCAAGTACAAAGTGGATCAGTACAATTGTCATGTTAGAACATTTTTTAGAAGTTCAAAATGAAATAAAAGTTTAGATTGGCAAAAACATTGATTTTCTCCTTTCTAATAATGAACTTGATAAAGTTCATAATCTTTGTACTGCCCTAAAGGCACTTAAACTAGCTATAAAAGCACTTTCCAAACAAGAAGGTGATTTATAGTCTTTTAAAATTATAATTTAAGTTATTAGAAAAAAGTTGGGTGAAGCAAAAATATCAATAAGCCAGCTTGAAAAACTGCAATTTGAAAAAAGAATCATTGACTAGAGAAACATCAATTTAACACACCTAATGAAATAATTGATAAGCACAGAAATTAAAAATAAAGATGTTCAGTTAGAGAATAAAGTAAAAAAAAAACATAACTACATTGTTGACAGAATAAAGTAAAAATAGACTTAAACAACTGAAAGTCAGAAAATATGAAGATGAGAGAATGCATTGATGTATCAGGAAATAAACTAGATGAATAAAAGTTTTTAGAGCATGATGGAATATAAAAGCATGCAACTTTGTTGAATGACAAGTTAAGCAAGAATAAGTTTTAATTGACAGAACTAGAGTTAATAGCAACAATATAAGCAGAAAAGTGAAAGCAACCTTGTGATAATGGCATAGTGGTTCAAGCTCGGCAGAATCCAACTACATTTACAATAGCTTTTTAGATTTTATCATGAAAAGTAAGGGAATCTTTAAAATCAAAAACAGCCCTAACAGACATAAAAAAAATAAAAAATATATAGGTGCTGTAAAATCCAATTAGAATTAGGTAGTGGGAGTAAAAAAGGTGAAACTCCATTCATCAGGGCCACAATTGACTTAACAAAGATGTTTTGAAGAGCCAATAAAAGAGACACCAATAGGAACGCATTGTTATAATCTTTATCAGCCAACTATTTTGCCTGCACTCTTTTTACTATATTATTAATATTATTATTACTATATGATTTATATTAAATAAAAAAAAGTTTAGTTTATTTATTTTACACATAGCTTAAAATAATTAACATACTATTTAAGTAGTAAAAAATTTATTCACCTGTGATCAGAAGTTTTTAACTCTGCTCTTCCATAGTAAACAATATTTCCTGGATTAAATGTGTCTGTGGAATCATCTTTACTAACTTTCCAATCAGGGGGAATATCTATTAAATAAAAAAGTCAGTTACAAAAATTTTTTTTTTGTGCTTATATTACTCAACATTTACATGAAATAGAAAAAAAAAACATATAACAATGTCATACAACAAGAAGTCATAGTAATCTAAATGTAAATTAGTGTAAACTTTAAAATTTGTGTAAAATGTCTAAAATGTCTAAAATGATATGACCACTAAAAGTCAACAAAAATATTTAATGCACAAAATACTGTTAAAATGAAACAACCAAAACCAAAGCCAATTAAAAAAAACTATTTAATGTAAAAAATTACAAAATGTGAATATATTAATATTTATTTAAACATAAAAATATTAGGAGCTAAAGGGAAAAATTTAAAAAAATTTGGTAAAACCAGAATTTATTTTTTAAAAAAAAGTGCAATTTTTACAAATTCTTTTGTCCTTACAGTGCAGTGGACCATAATTTAAGAACTTGATAAGTTTCTCCTGGTAGATTTTTCTTAGTAGATTTTTTTTATTTTTTTTTTAATTTGCATTCACTCCCAACAAGGCTGCAAGCAACCACTATTAAGTTGGGAGTTACTAGGAAAAAAAAGAACAGAGTTATAGAGCAAGGAAACGGTTGACAGAAGACTTGAAAAGTTGAAGGTTGTATGAGTCAGGAAAACATGAAGATGGGAGAGAGTTCCAAAGGATTGAAGTGCGGGGAAAAAAACTAGATAAATAAAAGTTTTTAGAGCATACAGGGACAGATACAGTAAACGAATGAGACTTAGCTGAATGACGAGTAAAATGAGAATGAATTTTAGTTGATGGAACTAGAGATAACTCCTTTGAGCAGTGACCATGATAGTATTTGTAGAAAAGAGAAAGAGATGCAACTTTACGACGATGGGAAAGAGGTTCAAGCTTAGCAGATAGTTCAGGTCCAACAATATTTACAATGCGTTTTCGGACCTTGTCAAGAAGAGAAAGTGAACCGTTAGAAGAACCAGCCCAAATATGACAACAGTATTCCATACAGGGACGAATAAGAGATTTGTAGAGGTAGAGAATGGAATCAGAAGTAAGGAAATGGCGAGCACGATAAAGGGAAGCAACCTTAGCAGAAGCTAACTTAGCAATCGATTGTATATATGGTTTTCATGAAAGGTCAGTGGAGGACTCAGTAAGAGGATTGCCATTCATTAATATAGGAATGTTGACCATATTACGGTAGTTAATTGCAGTAAGCAACTGGGTTTTTTTAGAGTTGAAATTCACAAGCCACTGTGAACCCCAATCTATTACTGAAGTGAGATCGGATTCAAGATCAGCTGCTTGTTCTAGGTGATCGAAAAGAGAAGATTTTTTGTCAAGACAGGAGTATAAAGTTGAGTCATCAGCAAAAAGAGCCACTTCAGATGAAAGGGTGTCAGGAAGATCGCTTATGTAGATAAGAAACAAAACAGGGCTCAGGATGGAACCTTGGGGAACCCCAGAAGTTACTGGAAATAAAGAAGAGTGTTGGCCTTCAAGGATGACTTTAATAAACCGGTTAGAAAGAAATGATTTGATAATCTCAAAAACTTTCCCAGAAACACCATATGAAGCAAGCTTATGGAGAAGACCAGCATGCCAAACTTTGTCGAAAGCTTTAGATATGTCGAGAGCAATAGCCCTAGCCTCACCGCCTCCATCTAATGCACAATAAAATCTTTCAGTTACAGCAGTTAGCAAGTCGGCCGTAGAGCAAGAGGATTGAAAACCGTATTGATTGTCTGACAGTTATTATTATGGAGGCTGCTTTTCATTCTGAAAATGTATTTAGCAAAACTTTCCATTAGTATTTTTCTCAGAAATTTGGTATGCAAGTTTTGCTGGAGATCCAACTTGATATCCTGTCATTAATGAGCTATACAATTTAGAACTGATTATTTTATTGCGATAATATCACTACAGGCTTTTGTTCACTAATAATTGGTCTTCAACAAATGATTAATGTCCAGGTTTCCACATAGCTCCTAAAACATTATTTGATCTTTTGAGAATTCATAAGTTTAAATACTACGTAAAATTTAGTTTTTCAAGATGCATGAAATTTTAGAACTCATAATTATTTAAAAAAGTAAATTATGAGATTGGGTGCTAGTTGTGAAATTGGTTGCTCATTCTGAATTAATACTTGTTTTTTTTTGTTTGTTGAGTTAATTGTTTTGAATAGAGATTAACCAATCAAAAAGTAACTTTTAGTTTTCATTAGTATCTAATTAAATATTTTGTATATTAATTATTCTTAAAGAAAGATTGAAAATATTTAAAAAACATACCGTCTTCATCTGATTCATCTTCACTTTCTACATCATACTTTTTTCGTCTCCAAAGAACACGATCTGTCCAGGCAGGAGTGCGCATTTTCTCACTTGTGTCATAGTCATTAGAGAAAAGATCATACTTGTACGTTGGTGGAAAATTAATTGTACCTTCAATGTAATCACCAAAAACCTAAATTGAATTAAAAGGATAATTGGCTAGAACAATATTATCAATGAGAAATTTCAGTACAATTATTAATGTAAATATTGTTACTTTGCCATCTGCTTTATGCATTAGTAGTTGGTCATTAGATAGCAATGTTGGCCAATCTTTATCTTTCAACAACTCTTTTACTTCATTGTATGGTAAATTAATTCGATAATTAAAATCTCCACACCAAAATACATAGTCATGGAACGCCAAAGATGTCCCCTAAAAATATGCATCATATTTTAAATAATAATAAAAGGTAATACGTAATATTTTTTAGCAAAAAATGAATTTTTTACAGCCTTGACAAGTAAAGCCATTTCAAAAAGAAAAAAGTTGAATGGTAGGACAAGGGTAATAAAATTTAAATTCAATAGAGATTTTATTTTAATTTATAAATAATTATTTATCTTCATTTTTATAATATTAATGCATTATTACACAATTTATTGACTTTTTGCACTACTTAACACCTCGGAATTAGGGTCAACATTTACCAATGCTAACCTAAAAGTGTCAGCAAAAAATTGTTAACCTTATTTCTGTTTTATGGTAGCACCTTTAAGTCAAATTTTTTTGCCAACCTGATGCCAACCTCTAACCATTTTATTGTCAACATCATTTTTCCTAATTTTAAGGACTGCTACTACTATAACTACTACTATCAAATAACTATATAAATTATTTTAAGTTTAAAACTTTATTTAAAATTTTATTTGTCTTTGCATAATATCACAAAATAAGTAATAAAAAAAAAAGTTAATTAAAGTTAATTAGGCAGAGTTTTTTCAAATAAAATAAAATTAAGTAATATGTAGTACAGGGTCAACCATATTAAAATGGGTAGCTTGGGTTAAATGAGTAAAGCAGTTTGTTTTGTTACAAATGCACTACTAATGTATTGAAACAAGTTTTAATTTTTCATGATAGTAAAAGAATTTTTATTAAAAAAATTGTAATAGGAAATTTTCGTTGCTGCACTGCTTCTACAAAGGATGTGTCGCCATTTTGGTTTTGGTTTCCATGCGCTTTCACCGTCAGGTAAATTCTGCTTAGTTAACAGTAACAGGAATGTAAAAAACCAAACAATTTTAAATATTAGTTAAAAAACCAGAATTGAGGAAAATAGGTTTAACAAACACTAAGATAAGCTAACAGATCAGCTCATTAGGGACTATTATGTAAACTTTAAAAAAATCCAAAAATATGCATCAAAGGACTAGACCGAGCTGTCAAGCCCAAGTGAAATAAAGAAAAATTTAGGAAAAGAGAAAGGATAAAATAATTAAAAATATATATTGAACAGATGTTCAGAACAAAAACAAAGATATTATAGTAAAGCATGTAGTAGAAAACAAGAATAATAAGAATTTAGACATTGCGCATGTAAAAGAAATGTAATAAAAACAAAACAGGACACATAAGTAACCAAAAATCTACAGTAAATGCAAATGTTTAACGTACTTAAAATAAAAATATATATGCATAGATATATCAGTATTTAAAATGAATAAATATAAATTCATAGGAAGTATAAGATAAAGAAAAAACATTGCTTTTGTGTAGTCATAATTTATGTAATGATGATAATAAACTTCTCCTTAGAATCGCATTTATTATTACCGGCGTTTCGAAGAGGTTCAGCACCAATACCTAGTTTATCCCATCAGATAAACATCATTGCTGTTTATACTTTACCCGCAATTTACGCCTACTCCATACTGCAGTATAAAAGGACTTCACTACAAAATAGCCAAAACCCTAACCTCACCCAAATTTGTAAAGCACTAATATTTTTTAAGAAATAATATGGATAGTGAGAGTAGTGAATACAATACCAAATAATATAACAAATTTAAAATAAAATAAAATATATATATAAGATAATAAGATAAATATATAAAATGAAATATAAATAAAGTTTTTAAACAAAAATAACGAAAAACAATAAACTAAAATGTAAATGATAATATAAAATAATAAAATTAATTCATATAGAAAACCACAAAATACTTAACTACACTACCGATGTGATAAATGTTGTTAGATAAAATTTTATTAAAATATACAACAAGTTGTTAAAATTGATACTTTTAGGATAAACAACCTCAAGCCAATAAAGTGTAGAAATATATATGAAATTATAAAAACAAAACCATATAAGGTATCACGCCACCATAGGTACCTAAATCGAATGTTGCTAACCAATTAAAAAACAGGTTTTAAATAAAACATAGTGATAACGATGAAAACAGTAAACAAAACCATTATATTATAAAACGTCAAAAATTACGTAGGCGGGTAAAAAATCATATATGTATAAAAAATGACAACCCAAAAATCAACACTTTTACATATACACACACACACACACACACGCATACACACATATATGTAAAGTATGCTAAAGTAACAATGCAGCCATAGCTCCCTAGTCTACCACTAATTATTAACGCATAATGTTTTCAACAAAAAAATAATATGATATTTATATACATACATATTTATAGATACACACACATACTGATGGTTGTCGAAAAAAGGATTGAATGTCCAAGGACAACTGCACATAAGTTAGCTCAGATATGTACCACAAGCAAAAACACTCTCCCGCGGAAACAGCAATTATGTATATATGATCGTATCTGTACGTTATAGTTACATTACTAGGAATCAGTGTGAAAAATTCTAATCCCGAAACACATCTAGCCAACCCAACCATACTACAAATGACCTTTGATGGATGTAGCATCCATACATAGGATTTATATTATCTTCTGGTTCAAAAAGCTAGCTCAGATATGTATCAGAAACAAAAGCACTCCATCGCGAAAACATGTATTTTAGTTCTAGTTGTAAGTATTCAGGGTGGCCAGCTAAAAGAAAATTTAAAATTCCAGGATATTTCCAGGATTTTTCAAGGAAATTTTGGGTTATTCAAGGATATATTGATTTTTTCTCGATAATAAAATGGACCAGTAAATGCAAAAAATATTGCCTTAGAACAAAACAACTAAATATTTATATTTGAATACGCATATAAATCATATATACATACATATAATTGTTTGTGTTAAATATTAATCATATATACATACATATATTTATGTAAAGTTTGTACAAATAAAATTGTACAAACTCATACAAACATATACATGTATATATATATATATATATATATATATATATATATATATATATATATATATATATATAATCTTTAAAAGTCATTTCTTGTTATACGATATATTTATAAATATATAAATTGATCTCAATAAAAAAGGCAGCGAGCAACTATTTTTTAAATATATTTTGATATAATAACATATTAATGATATTTTGCTGACCTATTGGCGTCATCAATTACTTGACCACAATATTATATCTATCTATCTATCTATCTATCTATCTATCTATCTATATATATATATATATATATTATATATATATATATATATATATATATATATATATATATATATATATATATATATATATATATATATATATATATATATATATATATATATATATATATATTAGATCTAGTTGGTTGTTTGATTTACCTACTTCAATCTTTATAAAACTATATGCAATTGCAGCTTCATTTAAAATGTTTGGTTTGGGAATCATTTTCATCTAACTTCACAACATGCTTTCTAAACTGTTAGATAAAAATGCAACCGCAAGTCTGTCTGTTTGAAATAGAACTAAAAATCCTTTCAATTTTTTAGCAAGTTCTTTAAAAAACTGCATTCGCAAAGGTACAAAATTGTGAAGATGATGATCTACCAGAACTTCATAGATCTTATTTTCAGGACGTCTGCTTTTGCATAGTGATTCCCAATATTTTATAATTTTAACCATGTTTGGCCATACAATAATGCCTCTAGAAGCCACACCTTCATCTTCTACCCAGCAAGTTGCGTAGAAACTGTGAAACAATAAAATCTAAAAATTAAAATGCTGAAATGCCCTTAACTTATATATAAATATAAAAGATAAGATAATTTATTATCATTTTTTTTTTTCTGCTTAAATATGCATACTTATAACAAAGCAAGCAGATCAGTTTCCCAAACTCTAATATATTCATCTATTTTAGCTGGTGACTCTTTGAAAAGATTATACATTGCACAAAATTTTTTTTCTAACTCCCACTTTTGGGAATTTATTGCTGTCTGTAGAGCACCATGATCAATGTGCAGTTGCAGTTTAACTGCCCATATTAACTATACCATAACATCATTTTTCCTTTCTATGTTTATCTAACATTTTTAGAACCTCCCGATTAACATTAGGACCATCCATTGATACTTAAGCTAGTTTTCCAAGATCTTTGTTGCTTCAATGAGTTTGTCAAATAAATTCTGTGAATTAGGGCGTCTGAGGAACTAAGAATCAATATATCTAGCTTTTACAACACCAGAATTTGAATCCTAGTACCTAACTCCACAGTCCATTTGTTTACTTTTAAAGACTACATTCATACTCTCATCATATGACAAAACAAAGATGAGTGATGCTCTGATTGCAGATACAAGTTGCTCTCGATAGTATGGTGCTAAACCAAAATTTATGAGGTAGCCACATTTTGTTTTGTTTAATGCAAACTTTGATGCTATTGTACTATCAGAGAACATAGATTTAAATATTTCATTTAAATTTAAGCACAATCTTAACGAAAAATGTGACATTACAACATTCAAGTTCCTTATTATTTCAGCCTTAGTAACCAGAGCTGGAGATTGAAGATCCTCTATAGTAGGTTGTGCCAGTTTGTCATTTAAAACATTTTTTGAATTAGGAAAATGTTCTTGTAAGTTAACAAAAGCAGTTATTGCCAGATATTTCTGTAGTAAAATCGAGGAACGAAATGCGTAAAAAAAAAATTAATATCCGGTAAAGTGCACAGCTAATCAATTTGCTCCAAGCATTCCAAAATTCAAAAATATTTTCCAAAAAAAAAGTAAAAAATCAAATCAAATAACTAAAAAACTACCAGTAAAGAACATATCAGCTGCATTAAATGTTCTTGCATGCTCTTTATGCTTTTTACCAATTGCACAAGAATTTAATGCAGATACTCCCATGTTAGAAATATTAATATTTTTTGACACCAATTACATCTTGCTTTCTTTGAAAAACATAACTTTACCCAAGAAGAATACTTTTTATTGTAAAGCCATTCTGTTTGGAAACGACGGTTCTTTGACTTGGGC